TGTCCTTGCTCCCGTGCAGATGACACTTGTACCTCTGCTGTGTCATGACACAGCTGAGATCCTGGTCCCGGTGCTGATACGCCGGTGGTGCACAGGCAGCAGTGGAGAGTGATTGTTACAGCGTGCTCAGCACACGTGGCTCGCTGTTGTTTCCCCTCCTGTCATGCAGCACTGCATGATGCAAATGGACCCAGTGGAGTGGCAGATGGGTTGTGCGGGCGCTGAATCACTGCACTGAGCCACAGGCAGCTCAGGGGGGCTGGAGAGGGAGCAGGAAAAATGATTTCCTCATGACTTTCCTTCTCCCTGAGTTACTTCAGTACCTGTGGCTCTTAAGTTGTCAGAAGCTGTCTGCCTGAGTTGTCTGCTCCCCCGGCTCAAACTTAAATGGGAAATTTAGGTTGGATATAAGGAAGAAGCTCTTCCCTGTGAGGGTGCTGAGGCCCTGGCACACAGTGTCCAGGGAAGTTGTGGCTGCCCCATCCCTGGCAGTGTTCAAGGCCAGGTTGGACACAGGGGCTTGGAGCAACCTGCTCTAGTGGAAGGTGTCCCTGCCCATTGCAGGGGGTTGGAAGTAGATGATCTTACGGTCCTTCCCAGCCCAAACCACTCTGAACTCAGCCATGCTTCTGGCTGTAAAATGGATGGGAATGTAGCTGAGAGCTGATTCCCACTCATGACTGAGAGACATAACAAAGTATGTTTTGTCAAAGTGTATTCAGTAGAGTATATATGTTTATGTTCATTGTCACTGTTTGTCAGAAAGGGGCAGGAAACATGAGGGTGCAGATGTCCTCTAACCTTCGTGTTTGATGACACAGAGATCATAAGAAGCTGCACAGCCCCATGAGTAAATGATCTGGTGTAAAGCCAGTTGCTCTTCTAAGGGTATAAAAGCAGGATCCTCTTGTAGCCAAATCTGGAGCCTCACGTATGGGTGGATGCACCATGTAGGAACTTTCCCAATTACCTGAGACTCCCGGCATCAGCTGCAACAGGGCTTCCCAGGCTGAAGTGTGGGCCTGGGTGATGATGTGGTGGTAATTGGTGACTTCTTTCTCCTTATTTCATGCTCTCTCTATCCAGTAATGATTTGATGTGTTGCTAATTTTCCTCTGTGCTTTACTTACATCTCTCTGATTTGCTTTCTTGTACTTATTCACTGCATATAGAGAGAGAGATACCTGATTCGTGTTAGTGTGCTTGTCTGCTTTAGTGTGCTTGTCTATTAAACTGTGCATGTTATACGGTGAGTGTGTAGTGGTTTTGTTGATGCCTGTTCACAGAACACTGGCCTGATCCCACCTGGGGCTATGCCACAGGACGTGATGGCTGTCAGCCATCAGGCAGTGACCAAGATGAGGTGGATGGAGGGACCTTGGCCTCCCCCCAGGAACATCTGAGGAGTCCCGAGGCTGTGTAAAGCTTATGGTGGTTTCTCTATGGATGCTGTTATGTTCTTTCTGTGTCAAGATGCCTCTGTACAGCGGTTCTTCCCTAATCTCTTGCTAAGTTAGGAAATGAAGCAGCCCTTGTGCCTTGCATCCGGGTAGAGGGAGAAGCTGATCCCATTGCTCTGAAGGTCTTAAAAGCGACTAAGTGGGCTCAGATCTCAGTACACTTCTCCCTTGCACAGCAGTGCTCAGGATGAGAGAGAGGGAAGTTAGAGCGTGTGAATTCTTGTGTCTGCTTCAAGTAGTTCTCTCTCTTCAGCGCTGCAAATCTGGCCTCTCTCCTGGAGATAGTGACTCACTGGTATCAAAACAAAACAGACAAGTGAGGTTTGCAGTCCCCCCCTCCAAAGCACTAGTGGAGGTTTCTGTTTCTCCGAGCAGAGTCAAAATGTGCTTGGCTTGTTCGGAGAGCTGTTCTGTAATGGGATAAACATGCAGATGCTGTTGTCTGTTTAGCGTTTGGCTTGGAGATGATAAACACTGCCCCAGTGGCAGCCCTTGGTAGGGCTGTGCCAGGAAGCATGGGAAGATCTGTCCTCCCGGGAAGCTGCTTGGCTGGTGCTCTCGGCTACTGGCCAGGAGCAGCCCCCGGCTGAGCTGGCACTGCTGAAGTCCTCCTTGGTCCTCTGCTGTGGGCTGAGAGGGTATGGCTGTGTTGGGAGAGGGGGTGGCAGGGGCCATGCAGCCAGGCAGGAGTCTCTCACCTTGCAGGAGTGTCGTGGCTGGAGATGAAGCACTGAAGCAGGCTGCCATCACGTGTGGGTTGGATGGGGTCTGCCTGCCCTGGCAAGTGTGAGGTACTCTTTGGCAGAGCAGCCCAGAGATGAGCCATGAGTGGAGTAAACTGAGCGGGTGCAGAGCACTGCTTGAGTATCAGTGGTGGTGAAGTTACCAGATCCCTCTGCCACCACCAGTCTTCAGCAGTGTGCAGGAGGGGTGTCTGCAGCCTTTGGCCCAAGCCAAAGGCGGAGCTGGGAACAGATCCTCTCACCTGGCAGTTGTTTATCTTGTGCTTTGATAGTTGTGACTTCCTAGTGCTGACACACTGCCTGAGGCACTGGCTCGTGGCCTATTCTGGAACATCACAGTGTTGATGGGTGCTGTAGAGAGGCACAGTCCAAGTGAGTTGCAGGGTTTTGTTGTCTGGAGATGTCTTAATTCTTAGACCTGTTGACAGATCAGTTTTCAAGGTGAATGCTGGTCTGTCTTTGCTTGCCCTCTGTGTCCCCAAATGCTTGTGTCAGCCCTGTGTCTATGCTGAGCTCTCCAGCAGCTCTAGGATGGAGCTGCTCTCATACTGCCTCTGAATCTTGCAAGTGATTTAGCACAAGACTTCCCAGCTCCCACTAATTCTCCAAGCTGGCGGAAGGTCATGCTTAAATGATGGGCTTACTTGGATTGAGGATCTCAGGGTTGCAGTGCTTCTCCTGCCTTCAGGCTCCTGTTCAGCCAGTGCCTCAGCCTCAGTAAGGAATTGGTGTTATGAACCCTGGGTGCCTGTGAGATAAAACACCCTTGGGCTTCCTGTTCAGAAGCACATTGCTAAAGGTGCTGGTATGTGTCTTCAGCAGCTCAGTCCAGGCAGTGATTGAAGCCCCTTCCAATCTTGACAGGCCAGGGATGGAGTTAGTGTTAGTAACAGCTGTTAAGAGTAAAACAAAACCCAAGTTGAGCTGAAACTGCATTTAAACTCCTGGATAACACCTGTACTAATAGCCCATTTCTGGGCCTGTGTTTCCTTTTGGTTAAGAGGTTAACGGAACAGCCTGCCCCTGTTCCCAACCTGAACCAGGCTGCTAAAGCAGTGGGAAGCACCTTGAAAAGCCAGGCCTCGGGAAGTGGGAGCAGTGACTCTTCTGACAGTGAAGAGGAGTCCCCTGCAGCACCGACACAGCCTCTGCAAGCTGGTGAGTCCCTGGTAGTGGCCAGGATCCCTCACCTGCATCCTTGTGGGTTTCCTTCTCTCCCTTGCACATGGAATGGCCCAGCTTGTTGTGAGAGCTCGTGCTGTGGTCAGCCATGGAGAGCAACTGTTTTGATGGTGACAATCCTTTATGCTTTCCTTGCAGTGAAAACCAATGCTGTGCCCCAGCCAGCAAATGTAAAGAAGGCGCCGGCTCCAGCAGCAGCCCCAGTCCCTCCACCTGCGGAGAGCAGCGATGATTCCAGCGAGGAGTCAGATTCAGAGGAGGAAATAGTCCCCCCTTCTCAGGTAGGGAGCTACTGGCTGTGGATGCTGTTAGTCCTGCACACCCAGGAGGTCTCAGGGCTTGCGAGGTGGTAGTTGGTAGGTGATGAGAGGTGCAGAGAGGAACCCTCCCGCTGGCTGGACCAGGTTTTCTTGGTGGCATCCCTGGGTCTCGCTGACCCAGCTCTGGGCACGTGTTTTGGCGGCAGCACTCTCACTGTGTGAGAGAGCAGTGGAGGGTGTCAGTGTTTTAGCAGGAACGTGAGTAGATGCACAAGGCCAGATCTCCTTCAGGGCTCTGTCCCCTTTGCCTTACGCCAGGGAGTTAGACTGGAAAAGCAGCCAAATCCTTGCAGGCAGAGTCTTTCCATGAGCTGGGTAGCTCCAAGGCAACCTTCCCCCTGGTTCCTCCCAAACCCTCGGGGGTGTGGTGTGGCTGGAGTGCTCTGGCTACAGGCTTTGGGAGGCTGGAAGGATCTGCCCTGAAGGGTAGCACAGTGGTCCTGCTGCCTTTCAGCTGGGGGGGCCAGACCTCTGCCTTGGAGAAGGAAAGTGATCCCATATGTGTGCTGAGGCCACTGCTGAGTGTCATGGAACCAATCCCAGCTCTCTCACCTGTCGCATCTCTTTGTGTTTCTGTGCCAGTCCTGCAGAGCAGTGGTTGAGCTTCCTCACTGTGAAGCTGTCTTGGGTCTCTCTGCACCTCTGCTGCAGTTTGAGCCTGAGAGAGAAACCACGTGAAGCAGCATTGACTGAGGAACGTGGCTACTGTTCCTTCGTGGTGGTGGCTTGGCTGGTGCTCTGAGCCCAGGGCTTAGTGGCCAAGTGCTCTTCTTGTCCTGCATGTGTGTCCCCTGCCTGGCCAGCACCCTTGCTGAGAGGTGCACTCCAGGAAAGTCCCCCATGTTGGCCAGGGGAAGGGCTGCTGGGCAGGCAGCCAGCCTGAGCAGTGCTTGATTAAAGCGTGTTTTTAGGACAAGGGCTGTATAAGATGATGCAGTTGCTGTAACTGGAGCTGTGTGCAGGACCACTGCGAGCTCACGTCGCAGTGACGGCTCTGAGCACGGTGGAGCATTGCCTTCCCTGCTGAAGGCCAGATGTTGTGTGAGGGAAATGTCAGCCCACAAAGGCCCAGCTTGTCAGGGAGCTGGGGAGGAGGGAGGGCTGCTCACGTAGCCTCGTTTGTAACACAAACCAGGAGGCTGAACACTCCTTCATCGCTCCTACTCCCTCCTCTGCTCACATTTGTGTCTTGGACTTAATGTCAGTGTCTGATTTCCATGCCCCTGGCTCTTCTATTTTTACCCCCCCCTTACATTTAGTGTGGAGGTTTCAAATGTGAGGCAACAAAATTGCTTCTTGTTAATCTGCTCTGTGCAATCTGTGACTTGCTTTTGGACCCGAAGGCAGATTTGCCCTGTGGTTGGTGTCTTTGCTTTGTCTCTGTTGCCAATTAACTCTCAATGTGTGATTTTTAGAGTGCAGGAGACATTGTGGAGTCCAGGTGCCCACTTTGCAAAGCAGGGTTTGTAAAAGCAGTCTTGCTGGTGTTGCAGTGGGATCTCACAGCCTGCATGCATGTCACGTTTTGCCTGCCTGCCCTCAGGATGAGTGCCTTTGGGGCACTGAGCTAATGCAACAGCCTTGGTGCTGTGCTGGAAACGATGGAAGGGCTCAGGAGTTAGTGGTCATTGCTGTATGCTTCTGTCTCTTCTTCCCTTGCAAGTTGTGCTCTGTCCTGATTATTTTTCTCATCTATTTTAGATTCTGTCCCAGCAGAACATCAAAGCAGCCCAGGTTTTGAGCGCAGTGGCTGCTAAGGCTAATGCCACGCTGCCTCCAGAGAAGGGGATAAAAGCTCCTGCTGTTCCTCCAGTTATCAGCGTGTCCGAGAGCTCCAGTAGCGATTCCTCAGATGAAGAGGTGGTGCCAGAAAAGGTAATGACAGAGGAGACTGAAGTGGAGAGCTTGCCTGGAGAGATGGGTCTGCTGGAGTCTGAGGCTGGTCCCTTGTCCCCAGCTGAGGGAGCGTGTTTGTGGAGGGTGGGGAAGGGGGCTGCTCTGGTTTAACCACTGTTACCACACCATAAGGTGAGGCACATTAGCAGAGGGTAACCGTGGCACCTTTGCTGTTCCTGCCTCCCAGCTGGCTGGTTGGTTTCTCCCTCCTTTTGTGATAGCAGTGCCCTGTACAGTCAGGAGTTGTCTGCTTGGCCACAGCTGCCTGCTTCATCTCTGGGCCAGGGGAGATGTGGTCTCTGTGCCCTGCATGAGAGGTGCTTGGGCTGACCTTGACACAGACTGGAGCAGTACGGCTGAAGAAGGGCTGAGGTGGTCACAGCCCACAGCAGATGGGCTTGTTCTTACAGTTCATGGACATGAGCAGTTATTCCTCGTTCCAGATGCATCTCATCTTCTTCTCCCTAGGTCCCCACTGCTTCTAGCCTGAAGCAGACGGTTCCTGTGGGAAAAGCTGCCCCAGCCAGTGCTGCCACGCCACAGGCTGCTCCGCCCCTGGGG